AATACCTATTCATAGAAGAATGTCAATAACAGAAATTTTCAAGGATACCTAGCAACCTGAAAAACACTACTACACATGGTATCTCACTATCTTTTACAACAGCTCAAGGAGACTTCATTCTACTATTAAAACTGTAATCGATATTCTGTACATGCAGAAACTGACTTAGATTACATGGCTAATTAAGGTAACTCAGGTAGTCATGACAAGTTCACAAATCAAATTTGGGTCTTTGAACTTCAGATAAAAAATTTGTACAGCATTATTGCAAATAATTCCTGGGTCAAACCAAGAATTAAGAACACTCAAAAAGACTCTGCTGATTGAGAGGGAATTTTTTCAAAAGCAACACTAGCAGCAAAGGCAGCTTTCATGTTTCATGCAGGCTGGGCAAAAAAAAAAATACAGTAACATTCCTGTCAAGCTACATCTTTTGATTTTTCTCTAGTTCTTTTAAAGGAATCTATGTAGTCTAAAGGAATTGGAAATCTTTATACTTTGATCATTATATTCTGTGATTTTCTATACTAAATGGATATGCTAAAGAATACTTAAATCCCAATTTCACCAAATAAGAGACATAAGTATTAAAAAATAGATACTACTTAATAAGTATGGGATTATGTCCATAATAAACTAGATATAATATCAAAACAAAGACTACAAATAGTTCACATCAACACCCCAAACACTTCTACGTGCAAATGCTCACCTATAATCCAATTTTGAATTCACTATCATCACTAAGTGAGGTATCAACCAGAGCTAGAGACACATTACTTATCTCTGACCCTCACATTCCCAAGGACAGGTTTTGCAGTATATTACAATGGGACCCAGAGTGGATAGCAAGAATCTGGAAATCCATAAAGTTGCATTTCCAATTGTCTATGGTTCCATTGCCCTCTAGTGGTTAGTTTGAAACTAGTTATTAACAGGGAGGCTATTCTTTTAGAAGTCTAAAATAGCAGTAGCAACATCTGTGGATATTCTTAGACATACAAATTTAAAGTACCAACTAAGACCTAATGAAAAGAAACTCTAGGGTTAGGGTCCAGAAACACGTTCCAATGGGTCCTCCACATGATTCCAATGCACACTGAAGAAAGAGGGCCAAAAACCTAAAGAAATGTATAGTGTTATATCTGAAGATGTGAAAGCATAAAGGTGCTTGTGAGTGCTCTTTTAGTTATGATTTATTTATCTATTTTATTTGAAAGAAGATTTTTAGAGAGAGGAGAGTCAAATAGATATCATCCATCTACCAGTTCTTTCCTCCAAGTAGCAGCAATGGCCAGAGGTGAGCTGTGGTCTGAAGCAAGGAACCAGAAGCTTCTTCCTAGTCTCCCACATAGCTGCAAGGGTCCAAGGCCTTGGGCCATCCTCTGCTACTTTCCCAGGCTTTAAACAGAAAGCTGGGTTGGTAGTGAAGCAGCCAAGACACAAACCAGTGCTCCTATGCAGTACCGGCACCTGCAGGCCAAGGATCAGCCAATTACATCACCACTCTGACTCCTTCACGAGTGTCTGTTCATGATAATATCCCTTATATTTATTCTGTTGTCTTTTCTAAATTTCAAAAGGCATACAGGATAATCTAGAAAAAGATTACAATTTAGTTGGGCAGATTGATAAGTGCTATAATTCTGAAATTGAAGAATATAAAAATTAAATAGATAAAAAACAATCAATAAATATCAAAATTCATTTTAACAGCCCACCAAGACCTATGTATTTATTATTTGGCTATAAAATCAAGTCAATGTTTATTGGCTGCATGAATATAATAAGATATTCATTATTCAGACTCTGTAGTAGTTATTATTTTCTACCCATTTTTTCTCAGACTCTGTAGATATTATTTTCCACATTTTTTCCTATCACATAAATTGCTATTTATTACTACATATATTGCTAAGTATTCAAACTATTGCTGATACACTCACAGCCTACCTTGAAATAAAGTTGAAAAATAACTGGGTAAGAATTTTTAATTGTATTGTGGGAAAATAAAAACAACTTTTAAATCATGATAAAATTTGTTAATTAGCTCTAGGTTGGTTATGATCACTTAACCACTCATCAGATAGTAAAGTATCATCAGATACTCTCCACAGAAAGTGAACTGGACTTGAGCTCAAAACGTCTGAAAGTTGATCTATGTGAACTTTGGCAAGTTGCTTAAAATCTAGGGTCTCAGTTTTCCCAGATGAGGAATTGTGATAATAACAACATCTACATTTTGTGGTTTTTGTGAGGATCAAATAAGTAGTGATTAGACAGGACTCAGAGTTAAATAAGAGCAGTTTTACACATCTTATTTAAGCAACCATTGCAGAAAGAATGACAAATATTGCAAAGATTGTTAAAAATGGTGTGTATAAAAAAGGTAGACATCAACCCTTCTGCAAAAAAATCTCACAATCACCCACTGATAATACTAGACAAAATATATACAAATTATACAAGATCCTGTAAAGAGGTCAACACATAGAATAGCACTGAATGAGATCCAAACACCAGTCAACCTTAGTAGTTTTAAGTCTAGAGGATGGAATGTGGAGTGGTACTGGGAAAATCTCAGACAGATAACCTAGAGAGCACACTCCATTCGATATATTATCTGCCCAAATCTTAAGATGTTCCTGAACTGGACATTTGAAGGGCAAATGTCAGGCAGTCCACTGAAGTTTAAACAGACTATTTATACTTCAGATAAGTCCAAGAAAATAGGCTTATAAATGCAGAAAAGATGAAAATTTAAGAGACAGACCATTAAAAATGAAAATTGTAGACCATAAAGGATATAGAATCTGAAATATTTTTGAAGTATTGTGATTAAAGATGAAAGAAAAAGTCAACAAACTTAAAAAACAAACTCAATCTGAAGGACAGAGAAAACAAACTTGGAAAAAAGCAATCAGCCTCTTGTATCTGTAGGATAATATCAATAGTTCTAATGCAGATGTAATAGAGTCTGGAAAGAAAATTAAGGGAAAAACAACAGATTAGATGGGAAAAATTATTTGAGTGATCAATAACGCCTTAAAATAAGAAATGCTCACAATAGTCAGTGTTGGGTCCAGGCTGAAGCTGGAAGCTGCAAACTCAATCCAGCTCTCACCTATGGATGACAGGAACTCAATTACCTGAACTATCATCAATGCTTCCCAGTATCCACATTTGTGAAAAACTGTAGAACTGGGAATCCAGCCCAACTAGTATGATATCCAACATTGAGAACCTGATCCCTTTGCTCATTGTTCATTACGTTACTAGAAAATTTATTGCTATTGTTGAGTGGTAAAAGTTCTTTATAAATTCTGGTATAACACCTTATCAAATATAAACAGTGCTCCAAAGAAGTATACAAAAGGCCAATAAGCACATGAAAAGGTGTCCTATTTCACTAAACTAAGGAAACACTAAGCCAATCTACAAAGAGATAGAATCTTACATTCATTTTAGTGGACATTTTATTTTCTTTATAAAAATATAATAGTGTTAATAACAATATAAAGAAAATAAAACTTTCATGCACCCTAGGGAAAACTGTAAAATGGTATCTTCACAGAACAAAGATTCTTCAAAAGATTAAAAATGGGATTATTACATAACCCAGAAATCTCCCTTCTGGGTATAAGAGTAAATCCAAGAGAGTTTAAACAGAATGTCAAAGAGTAAGTTCTCAGGGTTTATTCCTGCCAGCAGGCCCTCAGACAACCAAGGGGTGAGGTAACAGAGTTCTCTGGCAGCAGAACCACCAGAGACAAACTGGTGAAGGATGTCCAGTCATTGTGAAAAATCACAAGTTTATAGTACTGGAAAAAGAGGAAGGCCGAAGGGCAGTCCCGACAACACTCCCACCCAACAACGGCATTGTAAGTGGCCAGTAGGCATGTCTGGAAGCTGTGCCTCAGTCAATGGGCAGGCAGGCCATGACTCATGTGAGTACATAAACTAGCACATAAGCTGGAAGCCATGCCTCCGCTGAGTGTGGCTGGCAAATAGGATGTGGGTCACATTTGACTTCTTACATTTGTTGATCAGGGAAGTCCTAGCACAGCCATCCAAAGACAGAGAGACTGGGGTGCAGCCCACTGCTCTTGCTGCATGCCCAGTAACAGGCCAGGCTGAAGTCTGTCAGGGTTCCCCCAGGGACACTGTGTGCCTATGACCTCCCACATACGCTAAATAGACAGAGATCTAGGGGCAATCTCCCACAGAGAGTTGCAACTCAGATTCTTTACTGGCTATTCACAATAGCCAAGAAGCAGAAGCAACCAAATGTTCAGCAATGGATGAATGGATAAAGAAAATATGGCCTCTACATACAATGGAATAATTATCCAGCTTTGAAAAGTATAAAATACTATCACCCACTACAGTGTCTATGAATCTTGTGGATAAAAATAAGAAAAATAGCCCAGTAACAAAAAAAGAAAAAAAAAGATAAATACTTCATGATTCCACTTCTCTGGGGTATCTAAAGTCATCCAACTCATGGAAGTAGAAGGTAGACCTGTTGCCGATGGGGATAAAGGAAGGAAAAAATAGAGTAGTTGTTCTACATATAGAGTCCCAATTTCACAAGATGGAAACAGTCTGTTGCACAAACTTGAATGTAATTAATACTAAACTGTACACTTAAAAATTATAAGGATGGTAACTATATATGGCTTAATAATTTTTAAAACAATGATTGTGATAACTATTTTAGCATGAATAGAATATTTATGTATGTATCAGGGATACATAAATGAGCAAATGTAGAAAATGCACAATATTCTCTTTTTACTTAACTGAATTGAGTAGTTGATGCAAAGATGCATAGTAGGTATTCACTAAGAACTGTATTTTTCTCTCTCTCCTTTCCCTTTTCTCTCCTTAACCTGTCCTCAAATCAAAATCCATTCACAGAATCAAGACAACAGTGTAAAGAATGAAGTGCTCTGCTCTTCTGTTCCATTTACAGTTCTCTACAACAGGTACAGAAGTGTTAGTTCGGGAACAATGAAAAAAAGGTGGACAGAAGCTCAATGACAGCCTTTGGGAACCAGATCGCTTCTTCCAGGTCAGACCCAAGATGGCTGCTCTGCCACTCACTCAGTAAGCAAACATCTCAGTACTCAAGACCTTCAAAATCAAACAAGATTTTTATTTTAACAAAATAAATTAACATTACAATTACTGTATCACATTTGATCCCAAAGTAAATAAATAAAAAGAAGATAACACATATATGTACAACATGCATTTTTTTTGCTAATCAGTGAAGCAATTTTTTTTTAATCTTACAAATGAACAGCTTATTCCATCAGGAAATACCTCATTCTACAACCTCTTTGAATTGATTTTCCATCAACTTCATCAAATTTTGTTTCTTCAATTCTGTTTGGGTGAAAAATCCCATAATAAACAATAAGAAAGGTAATTCCAAGGAGCAGAGAAAGAATTATGGTGATACTGATAGTTATAAAATATTCTGAACTAAAAACATGGAGTGGATAAACCCAGAACACAATCAGTATCCCCAAGGTGATCAGTACCCTTACACTATAATAACAGGACATTGGACATTTGGTATTCTGGCCCTTAATATTAAAAAATGTAGCAATAAGAATGAATCCAACAACAATCCTATATAAGAATTCCATACTTAAAGAAGTACAAAACTGAGTTTGCTGCTTAAATGCCCACATTACACCTAAAAGCCAGAGAAACAACAATAAAATTAAAGCAATTTTAAGATTTAAGAATAGAAGAAGTACAACACTAAGCATCCATGATAACAATGTAAATAACTTGTAAAAGAGATATGTGGCTTTGGCACAGTTTCCATTAAGCAGATTTTTATCGGGCAAGGACTTTCTTAAAGCTATTTGATAATCAACAGTTGACCAAGAAACAGCACAGCAAGAGACCATGATGGACAAATCTATAAAACAAAAAAGAAATGATATGTTACATGGGACTAGTAACAGCAATGCTGAGCCATTAGATGCAACATATGCCTTATCTGTGTACACACACTTACACATGTCAGACACTTTAAATTCTTATCCCTTCTAGTCCTTTGAAGTTGGGCTTGAAGAGATTTATTACTTAACCCAAGTCACAGAGCTAGAAAATTACAGATGAGCTTGAAGCTACAACTTTCTGATTCCAAATTTGAAGTACTTAACCACTATATTAGATTGTTTTATAATTATTCTAAATAAACTCACAGCGTTAATTTATTGAACAACTGATAAACTGGAAACTGAATACTCTGGGAGTGAAGAGATAATAACTTTTCTAGCAATTTTGGTTTTTAACCCCTACTCCAATTAGGTTAGTGTAGGAGTAAAAAGAGGAAAGTTTAAAAGAAAACTTGATGTATTAGGCATGAAATGTCAGCAAGCTGAATTTCCCAAACAACAAGATGGTATATCAAAGTAACAAGTGTGTTCTGAAACTAAAAGATTTCTAGATTTGACATTTTTCCCCCAACAAATAACATAGAAACAAGTTCATTACCATTCTGATAATGCCAAGTCATTATCAACCCTACTGCCAAGAGGGTCATATTCAAAAAAAAAAAAAAAAACAGAAGACATTAGAGAAACAGGAAAGTGTCAGAGCAGAATACACTGGTACTCATTCTGCATTAAGCCTTATTGGAGGTCGACATAATAGGAAAGGCAGTCTTACAATTACTTTTCTATCAATGAAAGTAACAAAGACAGGGTCTTACCAATGGATATTAATGGACATCGAAGTGTATCAATAGATACACTTTCTTCATTTTAGTGATAACACTGGTCTCACAATCTGGATTTCTTTCTTTTATTCATTGATATAAAAATACATGAAACAAAACATCTCTTTGCTTCAAATTACGTTTTTCATGTAACTGGTTTTAATTTATACAAATTAATATATAGTTTTTTAAATAAGACAGTTCTATAAAGCCTGTAAGAAAAATAGTATTTTGCTTTACTCTTCCCCATCCCTCAGTTAGAAATCACTATCAACTCTTATAGCTTTTCTTATGACATTTATTGTCATATTTACAGATAAAGCACACATTATTCTTAATTTAGCAGTTTAGCTACTGTTTATCAATTGGCTGTTTGGAAAGAGGAAGATTCCACATATAAACACCTAAGTGCATCCTCTTTCCCCTTTGTCTCTCCTCTCATCACCCTAGGAGTAACATCAGTTCTTGATAACATCAATAGCCAATATTTTCTCATTATAATCACAGCTTCTTTTTAACTGCTAAGCTGCTGGCTATAGTGTTTCCTTTAAAAATTCCCAGTTTTCCTGAGGTTAATTGCCTTGTTTCCTTACTTTCTTAGTTCTTTTTCAGCGACACAATTACTATTAGCAAATTTAAATTAACTAATAAGTCTAGGTATACACGGTACATCTATGAGCTTTTGTGGCTTTTTCCCTGTTAAAATGCCATCTGGGTGCTATAAAACTACTGCTCTTACGCTTTACTTTCTGCATGTTATCTTTTTAAAAAGATTTATTTCATTTTCTTGGAGAGCCTGATTTACACAGAGAAGGAGAGAGAGAAAGAAAGATCTTCCTTCCTCTGGTTCACTCCCCAAGTGGTTACAACGGCTGGAGCTGAGCCAATCTAAAGCCAGGAGCCAGGAGTTTGTTCCAGGTCTCCCACACAGTTTCAGGGTCCCAAGGCTTTGGGCCGTCCTCGACTGCTTTCCCAGGCCACAGGCAGGGAGCTGGATGGGAAGCATACAGGACACAACCGGCGCACATATGGGATGCTGGTGAATGCAAGGCCAGGATTTTAGCCACTAGGCTACCACATCAGGCCCTATTCTTTTTTCAGGACTTCCCTTCAGCTCTCTTCTGTACTGATTTCTATTTTCTAACTTGTATCTTTCTTTCTTTCTGTATTCTCATGTTTTGATTAAGCCCTCAAGGATGAGCAAAGTTACAAAGAAGTTGCATTTATTTAAATTTTTAGATGTTGGGCCCAGTGCAGTGGCCTAGCAGCTAAAGTCCTTACCTTGAAAACACCAGGATCCCATATGGGCACCTGTTACAATCCCACAAGTCCCGCTTCCCATCCAGCTCCCTGCTTGTGGCCTAGGAAAGCAGCCAAGGACGGCTCAAAGCCTTGGAACCCTGCACCCACATGGGAAACCCTGAGGGGACTCCCTGCTCTTAGCATCGGATCAGCTCAGCTCCGGCCATTGCAGCTGCTTGGAGACTGAACCAGAGGATGGCAGATCTTCTCCATCTCTCTTCTCTGTATATCTGACTTTCCAATAAAAATAAAATAAATCTTTAAAAAATAATAAATAAATACTTACATGATTTTAACTTCTCTTATATTCTACCTCTTTCATTTTCACATAATATTCATTTTTATAGCTTTCTGTATCATTTTCAACTTTGATATTTACTTCTTTAAAGTAACAAGACAACTGTTTTATACTTTGCATTCGGTAATTCCAAAAATTTAAATTTAAAGGTTTTTTTTTTATTTTTATTGGCTATTACTTATATTACCTTTCGCTTTTGGCACTGTAAACTATGGTTAGCCATTCATCTTCCTTGGAAAACTAGTTGTAAAAATTATTTAAGGACAAAGATAACATGAGTTCTTCCAGGAGAATTACTGTTTCTATAAGACATTTCTCTACCTACCACTAAACTATATACACAGCTTGATTTTTTGTTAGTTTCTTGCCTTCTTTTTGAGATTAATCAGTAAATATGCATTTTGCTTACAAATCTTGGTGTAACTTTTCAAAGATATTTTTTCCTATCCTACTCCACCTTAATGCAACATGTCTTGCAGTCTCTTTGAAATCAAGACTGAGGCAGGTAACTGCCCTCACATGGGAGGCTCAGAAGAAGCTCCTGGGCTCCTGGTCTCAGCCTGGCCCAGCCCCAGCCATTACAGTCATTTGGGGAGTGAACCAACCGATGAAAGACGGTTTTCTCTTTGTCTCTTCCTCTCTCGGCAACTCAGCCTTTCAAATAAATAAATTTTAAAAAATACCAGAAAGGGTCCAGCACAAAGGCTCAACTAGTAATCCTCTATTTGTAAGCACTAGCATCCCACATGAGCAGAGGTTCGTGTCCCAGCTGCTCCGCTTCCCATCCAGCTTCCTGCTTAAGGCCTGGAAAAGCAGCTGAGGACGGTCCAAAGCCTTGGGATCCTTACACCCACAGGGGGATCCCAGAGGAGGCTCCTTACTCCTGGCCTCAGAACAGCTCAGCTCTGGTCAGTGCTGCCATTTGGGGAGAGAATTAGCAGAGAGATGTTTCTCTCTGTATTTCCTTCTCTCTGTAAATCTCCTTTGCAATGAAAATAAATGTTTTTTGACATAATATGAATGAAAATAAACTTTTTTGACAGAAAACAAAAGATTCCGTTTTAGGGGCAGGCATGTTACACAGTCGGTAAGATACTGCTTGGGAAGCCTGCATCCTATGCCAGAATGCTTGAGTCAATCCTGATTGTACTTCTATTTCAACTTTTTTCCAATGTGTCAGCAGTAACAGTTCAAATATCTAGTGACCTAGACGGAGTTTGGGTTTTTGGCTATTGCGATATTTGGGAAACAAACCAGCAAATGGAAGACTTTTTTCCCTCTCTCTCCCATTCTCTTTCCCTATGTGTTTCTACCTTTAAAATAAACAAAACTAAATAAATTAAGAATTTAAAAAGAAATTCTTACACTGACTGAAGTTTGCTTGACCATGTTCTAGAAAGATGTAGAGCTGAAGAACAAGTTGAGGGCAGCCTTCCAGGTAGGTCTCAAACAGCCTAAGCATGCTCAAATCCGTCACTCTGTCTATAACTTCTTTAAGTGGATCAATTTGCTCTTCCATGACATTATTAGCTTTGTTGCTATATTTGAAAGCTATGTGGTAACCATTCTTCAAAGCAAACCAATACCTATAAACATGAAAATAAATCTTCAGTCACATGTTCTTTAGAATATCTATGTGGATATAAATAATTTTGAAGAAAGGAACAAGTGTAAGTATGGAACTGTCCACAAATTGGTCTCCAGCACAGATTTTTGGGGGGAACATCTCAACTTTTAAAATTTATATTTCATAAATTTTTTTGTGTGCTTAATGTGCTGGTTAAATGCTATGCTTATTAAGGATACACAATCACATTTCATTTTTTGTAATAGTTATATAAGTAATATTGGTTACATTTTAGAGATAGAAAAACAAGGCTGAAAGGGGGAGAGCAATTCAGGTAAGCTACACAGAGAGTACAGGGCAGTCCAAAGATCCGAACCAGAACTGACATTTCTTAATCACACTGCTTTCTGGATGACAAACCACAATATTCAACTCATGCAGTTTGTTTTAACTTTAATACATTTACATATTCTCTTATGGGAAATCTTCTTTCAATTTAATATAGCAAACAAAAAGTACCTGGTCCTATAAGGTGCCAGTTTCCTTGACTATCACCGTTTCAGAAAGTACATTTGCACCTCTGTGTATGTGTCTCTCTCTGTGTCTCTGTCTCTGTCTCTCTGCCTCTGTCTCTCTGGAGAGTTATCAACCTGGCTGGGAAGGGCCTGGGCCTAAGATGCCACCTGCAAGCCAGGGTTGGTCGCTCAGCCCTTCTAGCTGCCTGGTCCAGGTGGGATAGGGCCCAGGACTGAGCACAAGCAGGGGTCAAATAAAGAGTGCCATGTGGGGGACACAGCTATCAGCAGTAACTGAAAATTCTCCGGCTCATGAGATGGACACATTAGAAGAGACTGCAGATAGGCAAGGCCTATGCTCATAATCATCAGGAAACAGTTACAGATGATGTGATGAATCTACCCTTAAGCTTAATGGTTGGAATTTTCTGAGTGTGAAATGAATTGCCATAGGTAGCAAGCTAACTTTGGGTCAGGAGTTAGAGGTCACATCTCCCCATCACCCCACCCCCCGCATAAAATCTTATTTCTTGGCCCAGCACAGTAGCCTGGCAGCTAAAGTCCTCGCCTTGCATGCGCCAGGATCCCATGTAGGTGCCAGTTCATATCCCAGCTGCTCCACTTCCCATCCAGCTCCTTGCTTGAGGCCTGGGAAAGCAGTCAAGAATGACCCAAAACCTTAGGACCCTGCACCCGCATGGGAGACCCAGAAGAATCTTCTGGCTCCTGGCTTCAGATCAGCTCAGCTCTGGCCACTGCGGCACATGGGGAGTAAACCAGCAGACGGAAGAATGTTCTGTCTCTCCTTCTACTTTTCAAAAAAAAGTCCTATCTGCCTACCTGTCAGTCCAAATGAACCTTCTCCAGGAAGTACTCCTGCTCATCTGGGCCCTGGGGATGGTTCCAGGGCCCCATTCCTTCCAAGGCTCAAAACAAGCCTGGCAACAGGAAGGGGGCTCTCTCTCTTCCCACCCACACAGCAATGGAGGTATCTAAATTCTGTAGAACATAGAATCAAACCAGAATAAGCTGGTATAGATCTGTAACCCACCCTACCAGTCAGCATCAAAGACTAGCCCAACATGCTGTAACAGCTCAGCTCTGCAAGAGTTACACTAGCTCCTCCCCCATTGATGGCCTGAGAAAAGCTGAAGATAGCTCCAGTACATGGGCCCTGCTACTCATGAGGAACACCCAGTTGAAGCTCCTGGCTTCTGAGTTTGGCCTTGGCCATCCCTGACTGTAGCATCCATCTACTAAATGAACTAGCAGATAGAAGATCTCTTTCCTGCTTTTTCTTTAACTCTGTTTTTCAAATAATTACAATCAAGAATAAGTGTTAGCACTTAAAGTAGTACATTTAAATAATACAGAAAATTCACTTATTAGGAATTCTTCATGTTCCTGTGATTAGATTAATGAAGAATTAATTTACCTTCTTGGAAAATATAATACATCATGTTCATAAGTGCATAGCTGTTAACTTTTATCTTACAGTTATTCAAAACTTTTATTATTAAGAATGATCTAATACAACTAAATAAACAGTAGCCAAATATTTCAGTATATTAATTTTGCATTCCATAAATGGAACTAAATGCTTTAAAATGTTTTGATCCTTAACAGAATTAAATGCTGTTACTTATCAATATCCCAAACACTAAAATACACTTACTATTTTGATATAACCTTTTTAATATTAAAATGTATTTGCTATTAACATAGCAAAAATATAGTATGAAATCCCAAACACAACATCCCCAGATAAATTTGCTTTTAAAAGAGTTTGGAAGGCTGATTTACAGAGAGAAGGAGAGACAGAGAGAAAGATCTTCCTTTCGCTGATTCACTTCCCACGTGCCACAACAGCTAGAGCTGAGCCAATCTGAAGCCAGGAGCCAGGAGCTTCTTCAGGGTCTCCCACACAAATGCAGGGTCCCAAGGCTTTGGGCCATTCTTGACTGCTTGCCCAGGCCACAACCAGGGAGCTGGATGAGAAGTAGAGCAGCTAGGACACAAACTGGATTCTGGTACTTGCAAGCTCAAAACTTAGTCACTGGGCCCAAAAGCATTTTAAAATGAACTTCACTGGCAGATGTTTGGTGTAACCATTAGCACACTGCTTGAAACAACTGTAATCTATATTAGAATGCCAGAATTGAAGTCCTGGCTCATTTCTGAGTCCAGCTTCCTACTAATACACATCCTTTAAAAAAAAAAAAACTATGAGCCAAGTAGTTGAGTCTGTCACTAATATGGAATTCCCGGACTGAATTCCTGTCTCCTGGCTTCAGCCTGTCCAGTCCCAGCTCTAGGTATCATATGTCTGTCTGTGTATATGTGCTTCAAATAAAAATAAATACATTTAAAATCATTGTGCACTTATCTGCTTACAAGTAATATTAATAATAAAAGTATCAGGACACTTAGAAGAAATTCAAGGATAGAAGTAAAAAATCCAGGATTCAACTCCAGCAATTACTGTTATAATTACAGCAAGATTTATCGCCCCCAAAAAACCCATGCAGCTATTTAAACTCTAATGTCTTAATGTTAATAACTGATCAAGAATAGAGACTTGATCTAATGATGGCATGTGAGTGGTGGTGTTGGAAGGTATATATCCATTGGGATATGCCCTCAGTGGCTAGTTCTCCCAACAACTTTATTTCAGTTCAAGTTCAGTCTAAGTTTTCTCTCTCCTTCCTCGCCTACCACGAATCCTGACTCTACACCCACTAAGAGCAACCTCCATCAGACTCTGGAATATGGGGTTGCCTTATCCTGTTATCTCAACTGTGAGGAGGAACAAATCTTTGCTTTCCCAAAAAACCTCCTTTCAGGAAGGTACTGTAGTTGAAGTGGCAAAAAGCAGACCAAATGCTCATCAAAGCGATCTGCAGCTCAGCTTCCTCACATATTTTTCTTCTTAAGAAAAAGGCACAGAAATATATTTTGTTCCAAACTGCTCCTTCTGCCACTGTTTCCCTCTCCTGTAAATGGTGTTAACATTGGCCATGTTGTTTAAATCAGAAACAATGCAAATCATTTCTAATCTCTGTCTTTTTCTCACACCCTACAAATATTTCTCAGCAGGACTAGAAGCACAAGATGGCCAATCACAGTAGGAAGGCATAATTGTGAGTAGAAGGTAAAAGTAAAAGGTGGCAGGAGGGGGAAAAAACGGTGCTGAGCTGAGCTGCAGAAGGAAGAAGCACCTGAGCTACTCTCGGGTGGCCTACGGAAAGAAGATAGAACTGGTTGGATGGCAAAAAAGTTGCACAAAAGCCCCAACACTCACAGTCAAAGAACAAAGTGAGTAAAGGGGAGTTACAGACCAGAAAATAAACCCAGCCCAGAGACAGCAGGCTTGTAAACAGAGCCAACACAAAGGGAAACTGATCAGTTGGGCTCCCTCTGAAATCCCCCCAAAAAAGAGTGCTTGGCTAGAAGCCACAGGAACAAAGTTCTGGCTCCGACACCTATGAAGGGAGGCAAAGCTAAGTAAAATTCTAAAGGCTGCCAAGCGCTTCCAATCATTGCATCCACACCCTTGGGGAGCAAGCAAGCCAGAAGACGGACCCCAGAAAGGAAAGTGGTGAGCAGGGTTAATGCTAGACACAGCAGGTCCACACCCAAAACCCTCTGAAAGACACCAGGATGACCCAAAAGAGTACATGGAGACCAAAGGGAGCAGAAAATGGATCTGGAGCAGCCCAGCCAGCTTTAGCAACGAAACGGGCAGAAACAAAACACAAACACACAAGTGGACATTGAATCCTCCAATGTCTGCGAGTGCATGTAAAGTGGGAGAGGAAGTGAAGGTATTCTGGGAAAGCTTTAAGAAGAACCCTCCAGTCACAGTGGGAAGGAACCCATGCGGGAGCACAGGTTCGTAAGCACACAGTGGACATACACAGACAGCAAGCAGCCCCAAGCACAGCCAGCAGAAAGGAGAAAAGCTGCCACTGACAGGCCTGCAGCTCTGTGGCTCCACAACTGCTCTGGCACCTGCATGAATAGTCACCCCAATATCTACAACCTAAGTGGCCCAGCAGCCCGACACTGTGCCCAGTAGCACAGTAGAAGTCAGAGACATACAGCAGTCCCCCTGCCACTGGGTAGTCATAAATGAAAGGATGTCTGCTTTGAAGTCCAAAGGACTCCCCACCAATCCCACAAAAAAGGGGGGATTCTCCCCTGCTACTGTTTTTGAGAAGCCTCTCTACTCATCTGCAGAATCAGTCACCAACTAGGGCAGAGAAAGAAAAGATCAAAGAGCAATGCAGCTTAAAGCCACAGCAATAGCCTCCCCAGCCCTGGGCACTGCTGGGACCATGAGTGAGAGAGGCTAAGCAGATAAAAGTACCACCAAAACCCAGGAGCGGCCAGGGCAAAACAAGGTGGATGGGGCTGTGCTGGCTGCAGAGGCTGAGGCAGGACCACAGTACGGGAGCCTCAGGCTGAGGCTCTCCAGAGGCACCAGCGCAAGCATGCAGCCCTC